CCAGGAAATAAATGAGTGTGTTTTTGCACCCAGTCAACTGGCAAAATATACCCGTCAACAGAAAGAGTTGCTGCTATTCTTGCTAAGTTTTACATCTACACCAGATATGACACACTGGGAGATTTCTATAACCTCTACTTTTCCTGCAACTAAGGCTTATCACTAGTGCACAGGGTCTTACCCCACAGGACCTTACCCCTCAGGCCTTGATTGCTACTGTGAAGGCTTGTGCACCAAGAAATCTCATGAGTCAAAATTCTAGCACTCTGCATCCTATCTAACTTCAAATGGTACAATGGGACCAAGTACAAGTATCGTTAGCTCTCTCCTCGATGCCATTCTCTTAGCATGAGGGGTGCCAACATTGGAAGGTGCAACACATATTCATACACCTTTCTACTGAGCCAAGAAGCCCTGACACCAGCAGGGAATGAATAGAGATGGAGGCCCTGCACTTTCATGTCATCGCTCGCAATCTCTCCCTCTGTATTTCACACATGCACAATTTTCTCCTCCAAAAGCAACTCACCCTGAAATTTCTCTTGTATGGAGACCTAGAGAATCATAATTCCTTTCAACTTCAGGTGACACTCTAACGCCTGGGAACCCTAACAGTTGATTGACCCGTTAAGGCATGCTCTATTAACGAATACTGTATATCAATGGGAATAATAGGGATAATTTCAAAACAAACTTTTAGAATGTCTCATATAAGAAAATGTGTGCATGTGAAATTTGACTTCTTGTCCAAATGAAATATATAATAAACAAAAAATAGATGTAACCATTGATGTTTGTTGTGGGTTTTTCGGGCTCTTTGGCCGTGTTCTGAAGGTTGTTCTTCCTGATGTTTCGCCAGTCTCTGTGGCCAGCATCTTCAGAGGACTGGAGTAGAAACTCTGTTCATGCTCTTTTGCTTTTTGTTGGATAGTAACCATCTTTCAGAATTGCTTTGCAGGATTACATGCAGCAGCCAGAACAGTATCTGATTGCCTTCATGCAACTAATTCCCACAAGCTATGTATTTGCTATTTGCTTAAACTGAAGAGGCATTTGGAACAAGACCAAGAGTATGTACCCTGAAGCAATCAGATAGTTACTGGATGAACATGTAATCACAGACGTTGGTGATCTCATTTACTGTGCTAGCTTTTCTTTAAAACTCTGGCAAAATTCTGTTTCTTAAAGCTTTGGTGCTTCTGATAAATCAGAAATGGCATTAAATATTAGTCTACTGTTTTCTATAAATTAATACTCATTTATAGTGTTGTAATTAATAATAATCTAATAGATGAGTTATAAAAATCTTTGTGGACACTTTGAGCATGTCACTCTCTTTTGTGTCACAGTTTATGTAAAAGTAACCTTCACTAGTTCATTGCATCAACCATCCTCCCAATATTTCTTAACAACTAATTACCAAAAAGGGATGCTGCTGCCTATTATTTTTTCCAACCTGGTTGAAATATTCATAGTAAAGCATTCTGATTAAGTTAAAAATTGATAAAAATCCTACTGGTGCTCACACAAGGTTTGCAAACATGCTACAGCCAGTTGTAGTTAGCTGACGAAGCATTAGGGCATATCTTGAATGTGTGCTTGGTAACATGCCCAATTGTGCAGCCAAGCCACAGCAAATCATGCAGGCCTTATGCAAAAAAAAAAAATTAAAAAAAAATAGGATTTTAGCTACAATATTAATCTTACTGATCTAAACTCTGACTAAACAATCCAGGCAATACATTTTAAAGCTATAAAGAACATGCATACATGCAGGATATAAATTTATCGTTTAGAAATTATGTACAAGCATTAGATATACTATTGTATAACTTCCCAAGGGAGTTTATGAATTCATATTTGAATGCATGCAACTTCCCTAGACTCTGGTCAGGTCTTTAGTGGATTGGTTCCAAAAAGCTTCTTCCCCAATCCTTGAATCTGGATAATAACTAAACAGAAAAAAAAGAGAACCCCATGGTTTAGAAGTAACTGGTTAGTTATTTGTAGTTGAATTTCTTTTTCTAGTAACAAAAGTATAACTATGTTACCTTTTGATTGTAACATAATGAAGGACAACTCTTTGTCTGTGCAGCTTTAGTTACATTATTGTTATGAGGATATGGCATCATTAAATAGTGAAGGAGCAATATCACATGCTTAATATACTTGTTCATACTGTGCCCCAGGCTCTGTAGGCAATGAGGAAGAGTATAGGAACTAGACATTTTTAAAAAATAATATACAGTATTTATAAAAACACTCAGATGTTTGTTTTACTTCTCACTGAGAAGTGAGAAAGCAACAAAGTTTCATATAAAGTAACCTTTATGCTAGCGCCAACAAGCCTAATCAAATGAGCCCAACGACTCATGTGACCATGTGGTTAAAAACGTATGACTGAATGGAGGCCATGCACCACTTCCTCTTCTTGTTCTAGCCATCTTTGTGAACTGAAGAGAAACTTTCTTTCCATAGTTCGATGATAACTGGGAGTTCTCATTTAAAGGTGCTGCAAAGCCATTTTAGGTTTTGTTGTAAACTTTACAGAAACTCTCCAAGGGCTATCCCTCAAATAGGTCTAACATTCTGGATAAGGCTTGTAACGTGCAGATTAAAACTCAGAGTGGATTCTTAAAATTAGAATCACCAGCTACCACTATCATAATTTATCTCTGACTTTGTTTCCTTATTGTTTTCTCATGTATTTATGATGAAATACTGTGATTTCCTATGGCTTGCTGACAATATCATGATGACAACAATTATGACAATCATCATCATCATCCTTTACTGGTCAACATAACTTGCCTTTTCATAAGTGGGGCTGGAATGGATCCAACATAAATGGAACAACACAACATTCCTGTGAAAGTTTCGTGCTTAGCAGAATTTGATTGAGATTACGAGTGCTTAGCCATTATTGAATGAAGCCTCAGCCTTTTTCTCTCTCTTTGGTTATTACACATGCACATCTGCTCTTTTAGCTGAAAATGAAGATTCACAAGAAAATAATAGATTGGGGTTTTTTAGACGACTAAAGGATGTCATGACCACACTGATAATTTTCCAACAAAATGATCAAGTATACAGACTTTTGCATCATTTTGAGCTTGTTCTGAAGGCATGCTTTCAATGAAACCAGGCACAGTCAAAAAGAGGGACTGGATAAGAATCTACTTCCATTATAGTCATACCCCAAAGCTAGTACTTGGCCGCTGCCGCTCTTAACATAAATGAAAAATACAAGCTGTGCCCTTAGGGTTATGCATCTGAAGGAGCACTTGAAATTATGCTTCTGTGGAGAGCTCTATGTGAGCAGCTTTTCATAGCTGTGTGGCTTTCAATATAAAATCAGGAACCTTATTTATTTAGTCTCATTTATTTGTTCAGTTTCAACCTTAACACTGAACTCAGGACAAAATTTATTGACCAGTGGCAAAAATCATTACATTATGAGGCATGCTGGATTTGCTAGCAAATAAAGTCAATGCAGTTTCATTGTTGATGAAAGAAAAAAATTAAAAACATTTTAAAAAGAGAGAGAAAGAAAACAGCTAATTAAAAGCATAGTAATGTGGTGTTATAAGATTGACAATTGTGCCAGAGTGTAAAACTTTCACAGGAATGTTGTGTCACACCATTTATGTTGGATGTAATGCCACTACAATTTATGAACGTGGGAGGGGAAAGTAGGAAGAAGGAACAAATGTGTAACGTGAGATGCAATATCTGAGCAGAGCTGTTAAGGATATGACATTTTTAGGTCATTAACACATATAGTCACCTCACATCAGAAGAAACTTGATAGCATAAAACAACTTCAGAGTTTATTTCTTAATCATCAGATAACTGTACAGTGACAAGATGGATGGAATGATTGAAACTGTGACAGGATATAGGTACCAAAGTTCTGATAACATTGAGTAAGACTATCCCCAGCCATAAAGGGGGCGGGGGAGTGATTTTCTAGCTTTGTGTGAGCTTCTGAATATTTGTTCTCTATTTTTAAAAATATCTTGTAAACATTTTTTACAGACACAGAATTCCTTTGCCAAAACAAAGGGGGAGAAACAGTTTTACTTTTAAAAAATCATAACTTGAAAGCCCTTTGCTGAAACTTCCCTATATTTGGTACTGCTCAAGGGGAGACCATCTGCTGCATCTGTGCCAAAGTTCAGTTTCAAAGTTATAATGTTTTATCTGGGCTGCCCCCAATTTTAGAAGTGCCTTGTAGAATGTCAAATTGCTATGCTGCACAATAACATAGAAACACTACCATGTAACTATAATGAGGCTGCAATCGTATATGCATTTCTATGACAGTAAGATTTGAGAATAACCACAGTTAGTTGCAGCAGAACTAAGTAAGAGTTTCTTAGTCCCTTCAACAAGCTTCATCTGGCATAAGATTCTGTGGGCAGGGGACTAATTTGTCACATTCAACAAATATGACCAAAGCAGGTGAATACAAATATGAATACTTAATTTTTTTCATAGCCAATCAAGCCATACACAGAAACAGAAACTAAACCACTCATAAAATAGTGCTTGGCATCTAATATAAGTACATATAAACAATAAGAAAACATTAAAATGTATTTATTTATTTTTAAATAGTAATATAAAAATTACCTGGGCAGGTAAATAATTATGCAAATCCTTGGATAGGAGGAGGACAGAAATGCAAAAGCTCCAAACATAAATGATTATCCTAACAGTAATCATTTAACCAACAGTGATGGCAGGAAGGACAATGATATCTGTACATATATACCCAGTTGATGCAAACGAAATTTCCTCTCCCTGCCAAAAACAAAACAAAACAAAAACCTCCTAAGGAAACCGGCAATCCTCTGAAAATACTACCCAGATGGTTGGGAGTGGGACCCTTTGGGAATGTGAACTGTGGTCTGGAAAGAGGAGCAGGATCTCCAAATGCTGACTGGGTGAGTCTGTATTATTTGATTGGGGCGTAGGAGAGAAAGAAACAGTGGGCATAGATACAGCAATTTTTGCATGATACTGAGCTGCACAAGTAAACCGAAAACTGCTGTGAGCTATGATGAATTCTCATGAGAGCCACAGCAAAAGAATGCAGCTGGGAAATGCGGAGAGTGGAAAGGGAAGGAGTTCAAAAGGAAATGGCTCCAGGGGTGCCAGAGCGTGTGTGAATACGGATGCCTAAAAAGGCAGACAAGAATCCTCGCATGCATGGAGGGTGTTCTCCTAAACAAAGGTAACAAATGTTTCATCAGGGAACAGTCATACAATGTGGGGTGTTGTCTCACTAGGTGCTTTGTGTTCCAGACACAGCTATGTTGTTGCATTTTGTACCTGGTTTGGGTTTGTTTTCTTTAATTGCTTGACTATCTCAGCAGCAAGAGCTGTGTAAGACACTGCCCTCCCATCGTATGAGATTAAAGCTCCTGTGTTTTAAACTGGGCCAATTTTGCAAAATCATGCATTTATCCAATGTGACATCACAAGCAAATGGTTCCACACAAGACAGTAAGTTGAACAGACATCTTTTTCAGTACCCTGGCAATTCTGTATATTGCCAAAGCAATTTGAACCTGTAAATCTAAACAGCTCTGTCCTGAAAATTACTATTGTCATTTTGGCAGACACTAAATCATGAAGTTCTGTCGCTTTTGTTTCTATACGACCGGATCATATAATTATTTAAAATGTCAGTGAATTCACTCCTTTATAATATTCCCTTTGTCAGACTTGTTTAAAACTCCCTTAAGCTGGCAGATAGAAATTTGGTTTAAAGAATATTTTATTAATATCCTTATCTCTTCCAGTAATGCTCTGGTTAATAATGAAGACTTCTGAGGGATTACAGTACTTTGAAACACGACACATACAACAAAGTAAGTTACAAGGGAAAAGATCTACAGAAACAATGTGTTTTATTACCTTAGGGCATTCCTTCCAAGCTCTGAGCAATGCCTTCGTTAAGACAACAAAATGTTTACAAAATGGTGGACAATCTTTCAGCACCTCTATATCTTTTAATTAACCAAGTTGTCACAAGGAAAAGGGGTGAATGGAAGAGATGAAGTGGGGCAAAAAGACAAAATAATAATGAATAAAAGCTTGGTAACAACTGATGAAATCTGCATGGTCAGATTCTTAAGGCAGAACAGAGGAATCACAGACTTATAGCGGAATCCAAATTTACTCATTCTTAGAAAAGACAATGAACAAATCCTATTGATTTCAAGGAGTCTCAAGATCCTTCACTAAAATGCACTAAGTTCTGCTAGATGTGTTACACCTTGTACACAATGGCTGATTTCACCATTTTGAAAGTGCAAACTCCTGTTTATTTGTCTCTTGTTAGTGAGGCAGGATGGACCCTCAACAACCAAATCAGAAAGTGGTCTGACTTTTCAGTTTATCACTAATAATAATCTTGCCACATATTTCTGTATGCATAATGAGGAAGTGGTATGATTCCTACAGTGAACAGATTTGGCTTAGGGGTCTCCATATTTGAGTTCTGTCTCTGTGCTTCAGCGGGATTACCTTAATAACAGGACACATGTGTTTCCCTTATCCTGCTTGGGATTCAGCACTGGCCAAAAACATTTTGCTGCCTTAAGTAAAAGACAAATTATCTTCCCTTTATTCCATATATAGAAGTGAGGTGGATTTCTTTTAAATTAAATTGATTTTAATCACAATTTAAATAAAAAAACAGATTTTTTTAAAATTAAAAATTTAAAAATAATTTTTTAACATTTAAATTCAATTTTAAATCAATTTAAAAAAATAATTGATTTTTATCCATCCTAAAAGAAGCCAAATATACTGGTAATTGAATCTAGTTGAATGCAATGGCCAGGAAATTCAGGAGGGACAGCTGAGCGGCTGCCATTGCTATCTCAGTATCTGCCATTTAAGATTGTTTCCTCACTCTGCCTTATGATAAAACCACTGTTAACTTCCTAGCACTTCCATCTCCATTATTTGTAAACATTAAAACCATATATAAGTTGCTTAAGCAACTTCAACAATAGTGGTTATTTTATTTTTTGGACAGAATTTTTGGTACCTAAACTCAATCTTCGTTTTCCAAGCACTGCTGGTGCCTGAGCTTATTTCAATGACACAGTGGTGCTTCAACTTACGACCGTCCCAACGTACAACCAATTCGAGTAATTGTTGGTCAGCGAAGAGGCTGCTTCTTTGTAGCTCTTTTGCCCCAACGGTTAGAGTGTGTGCCTTTGCAGAGAGGCTTCGGACTGCCTGGTAAGGTTCTGCTTTCTGCTTCTGAGTAAGTACATGCAGGGTTTTGCAGCATGAGTTTGGGCTGGGGGGGTTATGTTTCTGTGCTGTGGTTTTTTTGTTTGTTTTTTGGTGTTTTTTGGTGTGTGGTTTTTTTTTTTTTGGCACCATCACGTTCCGATGGGGCTTGCAGTGTTTTGTTTTTTGGTGTTGTTGTTTTTTCCGGCTCGAACATGTTCCAATGGAGCTTGCGGTGTTGTTTTGTTTTCTGGTGTGTGTTTTTCCCAGCCCCAGCGTGTTCTGATGGGCCTTGCAGTGGTTTGTTTGGGGGTTTTTTGGTGATGTTTTTCCCCTGGCTGGAAAGGGGGAAGAGGAACTAGAGACCAAATTGCCAACATGTGCTGGATTATGGAGAAAGCCAGAGAGTTCCAGAAATCTACTTCTGCTTCATTGACTAAGCAAAAGCATGGCAGAAAGTGAGGAGGAATTAAAGAACCTCTTAATGAGGGTGAAAGAGGAGAGTGCCAAAAATGGTCTGAAGCTCAACAGCAAAAAAACTAAGATCATGGCCACTGGTCCCATCACCTCCTGGCAAATAGAAGTGGAAGCTATGGAGGCAGTGACAAATTTTCCTATACTTTCTTGGGCTCCATGATCACTGCAGATGGGGACAGCAGCCACAAAATTAAAAGACACTTGCTTCTTGGGAGGAAAGCAATGACAAACCTAGACAGCATCTTAAAAAGCAGAGACATCCGAACAAAGGTTCGGATAGTCAAACCTATGGTTTTTCCAGTAGTGATGCATGGAAATGAGAGCTGGACCATAAAGAAAGGTGACTGCCGAAGAATTGATGCTTTTGAATTGTGGTGCTGGAGGGGACTCTTGAGAGTCCCTTGGACTGCAAGGAGATCAAACCTATCGATTTTGAAGGAAATCAACCCTGAGTGCTCACTGGAAGGACAGATCCTGAAGCTAAAGCTCCAGTACTTTGGCCATCTGATGAGAAGAGAAGACTCCCTGAAAAAGACTCTGATGTTGGGAAAATGTGAAGGCAAGAGGGGAAGGGGACGACAGAGGACAAGATGGTTAGACAGTGTCAACAAAGGTACCAACATGATTTTGACCCAACTCTGGGAGGCAGTGGAAGACAGGAGGGCCTGGTGTGCTTTGGTCCATGGGGTCACGAAGAGTCAGACACGACTTAACGACTAAACAACAACAACATTTATAAAGCTTATTAAGTACATTGAAATCCTGGACTCGTTTCCTCCAAAGTAAACCACCCTCAGAAAAGCAGCTGTATATAGGAGTGCAGACTTTTAATACACATTGTATACACATTTGTACAGTACATAAAATGTATACCCACATTTAACTTATTTGAAATTTAGTGTTGGAGACGGGTTTTAAAGATATCATGACTTGTCAGAAAGATAAGTAAAGCAAATTAAGTGTGGACTTTCACTACAAGCTAAAATAACAAAACAAAGGGTACTGTACTACAGTGGCATCGTAAGAAGACAAGCTCACTGGAAAAGGCAGCAATGCAGAAAAAAGTGCAATGCAGTAGGAAAAGACGAAGACTGCACATGAGATGGATTGACTCAGTAAAGAAACCCACAGTCTTTTGTTTGGTGCTGCAGTCAAAGTAGGACCAGGAGCAGAAAGACTGGGATTCAGTTTTTGGGAATAAATTATGATACTCTTGCCTGCTTTGGGGATGAGAAATAGAGAAACACGATTGCTACACGCTTTAGACTTCTGCTGTTCTCAGCAGAAACTGCAGAGCTAAATGCAGTGGAGATTAACTTTGGAAGATTCCTTTTTTCATGGTTTTATGAAAGAGTCAATTCTCTCTCTCTCACACACACACACACACAGACACACACACACACAAACACTCCCTCAGTTTTCTACATACATTTAACAAGTTGAATGACTCCATGCGTCCCTCTCTCGCACCTTCCTTCCTGCTTAATTGGAGCTTTCCCTCCTGCTTGCAGTCACCTCTGGGCGGAAGTAGTCATTCACAAGCTGGATATACCAGAAAACAATAAAGCTGCCTTATCTCTGATCTCTAAAAGAAGTGATTTACAAGTGCCGCAACCAAGGAAGGTAGCACGGAGAGGTGACTTACAGTTTGAGGTTCGGCTGCAGGGGGGTAGGGGTGGGTGGCGTTCTGCTCATTAACCCCAGGATTTTCATTTATCCTATTTGGAGTAATTTACCCCTGTTCCCCAACCACTGCATTAGACTATTCATTTCCTAATGCATACAGTTGAATCAACTCAGCTCTCAAAAACAGCACAGAGGCTGGAAAATTAATTTTTGAGTCCCTGAAGCAGAAAATTATAGACTCTACACGCCATGCAGCAGAAGCATTCATCCAGTCTAGCATGGGAAATGCATGCATCTAAGTAGCTTTGTTTACATTGCTCATGCAGATGTGTGCTTGGCTATTGACATAAGAGCTAATCAAAGGTTGGTAGTAACTAGCTACAAATAGATGCTTGCAATTCCTTTGTAAGAAAGGATGATAAAATTACATTGCATCGTAACTTAAAGAAAGCTAAGTTTGCTCCTTTTTTCACTATAATGTTCAGTTTTGTCAACATTGTAATTCTGGGGTTTGGCCTATCTAAATGATGGAGAAGGAATATTTCATGGTTCCATTGTTAGTCTATGCTGTGACTGGCTCATGTTCTACTGTGGATGTTGAGGCAATGAGACAAAGATAATGAAGGGAATTTGTTTTATATCATAGGCCAGTGGCTGGTAATAGTAAGATGGTTTCAATGCCTTTTGAATGATAACTTTTGTGAAGTAAGTATTGAGGACTTTGAGGTCTACTGCAGCAAATTACTTTTAAAAGGAACTTTCCAAAATCTGGATCTATTGATTGAACAATTTCTACACGATTCAAGATTTGCATTCAGTACAAATGATGAGTTGTATATAATTTGTACAGTACAAATGATGAACTACCCATAGAATGGAAGAAAAATGATCATAATTACGTGGAGGCATAGCGCTTTCAAATTTCTTGGACATCATCCTCCAGAATGCACCAGCCAGAAATGGGGGGGGGGAGCCAAGAAATTAAAGTCCCCACTACAGTTTTCACTTACTTACAGGCGAGGAATGCAGGTATTGTCAGCTATTTTGTTTATATGAAAACACAGGAAATGAGTGTGAGGGCCTAAGTTCTGTGGGAGCTGCAGAGAATTACAGTACTACTTATTTTTTGAGAGACACTCTTACTGTGAATAATGGCCAGAGAGACTAACAGTCCCCTAATCCCTTGCAGATCCTATAGAGTTTAGGTCTCCCACCCAACTCATTTCCTCTGTCTTCTTCACAGGAATAAAATGGCTGACAAAGCCTTACTTCTCCACCTGTGTGCAACTCAAAATTCCTGTGAGGAATTTAATTTCCTGGCCAAAGCTTGCAGAATTCAAACTGAGGAAATGGAGAATTCTGGCAAGGCAAAGTTCAAGAAATCCAAAAGTCCACTGCTTAGTTACCTGCTCAGGCCATCCAAAACTCACCAGTGGTAGGAAAATCCTCTGGGTTCCAAATCTTCCTTCTCTTACTTTTCCCTATGGATGACTCCACCATGCCATTATATTCATGTTTCTTAAAAGTAACTTTCTGAACTGTAACTACTGTAGTTGAAACAAGATTTTGATCTATCTGTTCATCTTTCAGTTTATATAGTTTCTATTTAGATTTCTCATGCAGTACCAAGATTTATTTATACACATGTATAAATGTTTCCATTCTGAAGGAAATCAACCCTGAGTGCTCACTGGAAGGACAGAACTTGAAGCTGAGGCTCCAGTACTTTGGCCATCTCATGAGAAGAGAGGGCTCCCTGGAAAAGACCCTGATGTTGGGAAAGTGTGATGGCAAGAGGAGAAGGGGACGACAGAGGATGAGATGGTTGGACAGTGTCATTGAAGCTACCAACATGAATTTGACCAGATTCTGGGAGGCAGTGGAAGACAGGAGGGCCTGGCATGCTTTGGTCCATGGGGGTCACAAAGAATCGGACACAACTTAACAACTAAACAACAACAAGAATAAAATCCCAATTAAAATGTAGGTAAATATAATGTACTAAATCTAATGTCAGTTCCAACAAAAGCAGAACTACAGAAATCAATGGAAACATTCTTTGCTTGCTACTAACAAATCCCATCCATTTCAACAGTTCCACTCCTGTTGGAACTAACATTGGATTTAATCCAGTATATCCTAAGTCTTGAACTGATTCTGCAAAAGCTCTACCTATGCATTTGGCCCCCTTTCCTCTGCTTTCCTCTCATCCCAATAATTACTGTACAGTCATGACTCCACAAAGACTTCAATGTTCAATTGTATATATCTTGTTCTAGGTCTCTGCAGGATTAACTATTACACTCGGAACTCTCAGAAACCTTAACCTTTATACCACCTACCTCCTTAAGTTTACAGTTTTTTTGAGGTATAGAATACGAACATTGCAAAATAAACACTTAGGGATAAATCCATGCCCCCCCAATAAAAAAAAAACAGTAGTGGGTGTGCACATCACAAATTAATAAAAAAATCATATGAGCAAAATTTGTAGACGCTGTAGACGTAGACGCTGTCTAGGGGGCGGGGTATAAATCGAATGAATGAATGAATGAATGAATGAATGAATGAATGAATGAATGAATGAATGAATGAATGAATGAATGAAATATCAGAACACCATGGGCACAGCCTGACCAAGAGCCCAGAATAATGAAGTTAACCATTCAATCATATAACCAAGAATATAGGAAACATGTTGGGAAAAGCTAGCGTTCTTTCCTTGTATGCTCACTAAAGGAAGCTAACTGTGCAGTTCCTGTCTCAGATATATTCACACTTGATGAAAAGTATAAAAATAATGCTTAGCTCAATGCTACTTGATACTGTCTCAATGGAGACTTGAAGCAGGAAAATTATGCCCCTCTGTAGAATCTGCTGGTCAAATGGATTGCTTTACAACCAATTTCAGAGTCTTGTAGCCCGCAAATACCAGTCACAGTGAATACTATACATTGTAAAGATTAGAATAATCTATTATGCCTAAATGGCAAGGTATAGAAGAACTGAAACAATATGCCTCCAAATCAAGAAAGTCATACTGCCAAAATCCGCCTGTTACATAATACACACTCAACAAAATAATCAGTAGATTAGTCTAAGGTCCTGGAATGTTTGCCTCTGTATCTATTTTGGAATTCACCTCTCCTAGGTCTCACCCAGCGTAGCCAAATGAAAGTAATTACTGTATGGGTTTTGTAGTCTGAAACATCTGGAAGGCCATTTTTGATTGTGCATAAAGCTGGCTGAAGTACCAATGAGCTTGAATACCTGGTTGTGGAACCAGGATTTAGGAGTTACGATATGAGTTTGCTTATCCACTATGCCTTCTGGGAGAAGAGGCAATCTCGCACACTTGGGTAAGCTGCACAATCCTGCACTGTCTCCAGAGTATTCGATATGCAGAAAATTCTGGAAAGCATTGCCATACCTCAGAATCAACTTGAAGGCACATTGTCACTAATAATTTAAAGTATGGCACCAGCTGAAATCCTCTTACTTATTGAAGTAAGCTAAAGCTAGTTGAGGCCCATTGAATCAATAGAACTTACAGAGGAGTTGAGTCACAAATTCCCCACTAATTCAGTGGGTCTACTGTACTTGTGACACTGCACTAAGCAACAGGATTTCAACTATTGTATCTCTAATACAGGGACAGGAACTCTGGGTCTTCAGAAGTTTTTGGTCTACAATTCTCACAAGTTCTAGTATGGTGAAGAATGATGGGAGTGGCAATCCAGAAACATCTGGAGACCCACAGTGGTCCACCTCTGCTCTAAATCCTAACAGAACTTTGTTTAATCACATAATCTCTATGTGTACAAAGTCACAACTAAGGAGTTAC